TGTGTCTGAAGCAGTTCTACAGGTTTTGGTTTCAGATGGATGGGTTAGAGAGCGGTGGTCTCCGTGCCGCAGCCCCGTCAAGCCCTCCTTTCCCCCCTTCCGCCCCCCCTCCCTCCCCCCCTCCCTCCCTCCCCCCCTCCCCCCCATCTCTCCCTCCGCGCCCTCTCCCCTTTCCCAACCCACCGCAGGTCCGTACAGTCCACCCAGGGCATGGCGCTGCAGTAGAAGCGCGGCCGGCTCCCCGGGGGATCCCCCGCAGCCCGGTTCAGCTGGTGCTGGGTCGCTGGCCCCCGACCTGACAAGTGTGCGCCACCGGCAGCGCCGCCGCTAGTTGCCGCGGCTGTGGCCTCCGCCACCGTGGGCCGGGTGAACTGGAACAGGGCCGCTGCAGCCGGGAGGAAAGGAGGGGAGAGAGCGAGAAGGGAGCGAAACGGGCGGGAGGTAATGGCGGGAAATTACGACAACTCTAGCAACTTTGTTACTTAGGTTGGAATTAATTGAGACCCGTCCTAAACGAAAAAAATCACTGGACGGGGGGTATGCTGTGCCGGGTAAAGGGGAGACTCGAAGGCACGGTCCCCCCCCGGACGACCTGCGGCCCGGATGTCAACCGATATGCAAGGGGGCCGTACTGGTATTGGAGCAGCAAACAAACCGTCCCAAACCGTCAGGGGCCCTAACCGTCCAAACCGCCAGGGGAGGGGTTCGAACACGCGGGTGAAAGAGGGGAGGTGGTAGCGGTGTTGGTGTTGGTGGTGGTGGTGGTGTTGGTGGTGGTGCAGCATGACAGGAAGGCTGTTGCCCGCGACTCTGGCATTGGTGGTGGTAAGGCCTGCAACACTGAAACCACAGAAACAGGAAAAAAAGGGCCCGGGTGCTCCGGAGTAAGAGGGAGAGGGAGAGAGAGAGATCGGCAGGCAGGCAGGCAGGCAGGCAGGCGCGCGCGTGTGTGTATTCGTATAAGTGTGCGTATAATTGCCCTGTGGCGGTGTGGAGAGCACCCGTACCTGCCCCTGGCGGCGCATAGGCGACTCGCGTGACGTTGAGTATTGAGGGTGGTCCCAGCGCCAGCGACAGGTGGTTGGGTCCCTCCCCCCCTCCCCCCCCACCCCGCTCCCAGGGGTGGTCAGTGGCGCTGAAGTTGATGATGCCCCAGTAGTCGAGAAAGGTCCACACACTGGTGAAGGAATGTCGGGAGCGGGACCAGGCAGGGGTAGGGATCGAGCAGCAGATTGGGGCCGGGGGATTGGTGTGTGTGACGAAAAACACAGATTGAGAGTTGATTCAAGGGAGCAGATATTCTTGGGGGGAATGTGGTGGGTTTGTTCGAAAAAGGTTCCTTTGAAGATGTATGTATGTACTATTTGACGGATACCCACCGCTGCCAAACACGAAATGGTAAAAAAAATTTATTCGTACACATGCATTCGTTGGCGGTTCGTTTTGTGTATTATTATTCTCTCCCGCCTACCGGTGTACGGCGGCCACGTCACCCTGCAGTCGCCTCCGAGCCTCTGAGAATGTCAACCTCCTGGAGGGATCCTCCCGGTACATGGATACCAGCGCCTCGCGGTATTGCACGTACAACTGTACGACAAGCGTGTACGACAGGTGTACGGGAAAAACACACCGAAGGAGGACTTTTATCCAAACCATCCGAGAGATTTCTTTCTTTGTCCCGTAACATTAAAAAACAAGGAAACGTGCAGTACGAGCCAGGTGAGCAGTAACACAGCGAGTGGTAAAGCTAAACACACAAACTGCATTAAAGCGAGAGCACCAATCGCTCGCCCGCTCTGGGGTTCCGGTTTTTGATGCAGGAAGTGTGCCTGCTGCCCACCCTGTCAACGGGAGGCACACACCAGTCAGCACACCCACGCGACAAACCACCCCGTGCGCGGTTTTCCCCCCCTCCCCCCCTTCCCCCGGGTCAGTTCTACTTCTTGTACACTCATCCCTTGGCATCAGCTTCACTCGTTCACGTGGTTCATCTTTCCCCCCTCCTTTCCCCCCTCCCTCCTCTCTGCGCCGTTCCCACCAGTCAAACGCCCCTCCTCTTCATGGAACCGCGGCCCAACAACGACACGGCCGGCGAAATTCAACGGCTGTTCACGCACCCACGGACGGCCACATACCGGCCTTTCACCCCGTCCATCCCCCAACTACCCCCCCCTACACACCACCCTGCCCGACACTCACAGAGCTGTTCCGGTGCGGCCCCCGGCTCTCGAAGAAATCCGCCATGTACAGCCTCTCGTTCTCGTGGATCCCGTTCAAATTCATCCAGGCGGCGCAGGAGGGAACCAGGTAGGGCTCCTTAGTTGGAGGTGGCGCGGCGGCGGCGTAGCCGGCGGTGCCTGGCGGCGGCGACCTTGGCGGCGGTGGGCAGACAACCCCCGGCGGTGTCGGGGCGCGAGGTGCCGACGGCGGTGCTGCGCCGTGCCGTGGCGGCAGCTGGCCCTGCACGGTGATGATGATGATGATGATGACCGCGGTACAGGGGTTGGCGGGGACGGGGGTATGATGCATGGATACCGGCCCGGCGGGACTCCGCCAGCTTGTAAGCATGGCAATATGCCCCATTTCCAGTCAACCATCAACATCTCGTCTACTTCGGGCAAATCTGGCACACACACACACACACACAATAGGCAAGGTGGATAGATCCCCAACCCCCCAGCAGTGCTAAACCGCTTTAAAAAAGCGCGCGTCCCCCCTCAAACCTCAAAATTCCCACCGCCGCCACCAACCACACGCACCACCATCATCACCCGCAAAAAAGAGATGGCCCAGAGCCAGATAAAAAGCCCCCAAAGTCCCCCGAAGCTGCGGGACCCATCTCTCTGCATCCACCCCTGCTCTTCCCTGCCCTTCCACCGCACCTGGGAGACATTCTCCACGTGCGATGCGGGATCCACCGCAGGTTTGTTGGGGTCGTGAACCCGCTGCCTTACGGCGTTGACAGCCACACGTGTCCCATACCCCTCAACGACCTCCGGACGAGTGAACACATCCGCCTTGTGACGCTTGGCCACCGGCGCGTCGTCCTTGGCGGCCGTCGCCGCGGCAGCGGCGGCCCTGGCGGCAGCGGCGGCGCGGGCGGCGCCCCGCTGCGAGCCCGGCAGCGGCGCCGTTGGGACCGGGCCTGTGGGGACCGGCGGCGCCGGCGCCGGCGGCACCGCCGCCGCGCCAGCGGCGGGCGCACCAGGAGCGGCCGGTGCAGCCGCTGTCGCGGCTGCGGTTGGAGCTACAGAGGCGGGTTGTGCCAGTTGTGCGCTCAACGCCTGCAAGTTCAGACGACAAGAGATATAACATCAATCCATAACATTAAAGAAAAAGAAATATAAAACATAAACGATTACATTAACATATCTATCTGCTGCGGCTCTCAATAAGCAAATGCAGGGGTGTGTGGGGGGGGCCTATTGTGTTGGTGCTGGCCGCTAGCTGGGACTGTGGTGATTTTCGGGGCAGCGGGATTGTCGTCATCGGCTTTTCATCAAGGTGGCCATCGCGTAGAGTACAGCCCTGTAAGGTTGAAAATAAGCAGCAGCAGCAGCAGCAGCAGCAGGACCACATCTCGGCCAGGTCGGTGCTTTACTTCAGCCTCCCCCCATAACCCAATACACAATAATGTGTTTCGTGCGTACACATACGGACATACCACTCACTCGCTAGGGGCGGTTTCGGACTTTGGCCGCCTTCCGGCAGTTGCTTTCTGGTTTCCTTTCTGGTTTCCTTTCTGGTTTCCTTTCTGGTTTCCTTTCTGGTTTCCTTTCTGGTTTCCTTTCTGGTTTCCTTTCTGGTTTTCCTTTCTGGTTTCCTTGCATGTGATAATTCCCCCTCTCTCCTCGCATAAGCCAGCCCAGTGCCTTACACCATACACCCCTCACACGCCATCCGTACCGTCCCCCCCTTCAGCACCCACATGCCGTCCCCTCCTACCTGCCCCACTGATACTGGCCGCAGCGCGGCGGGTTGTACGGGCGCCGCCGGGCGCCACCCGCCGGGCCCTATGACTGGCAGCAGACCGCCGCCACTCGCAGCTCCTCCCGGCTGGAGGGGCTGTTGTAACGGCTGCAGGGCCGACAGGGGGGCTTGGCCCGGGGGGGCTCTGCAGGGGGGAGGGGATGGTGAAGGCAGGGCAAGTGGGGGAGGGGTGAGAGAGCGACAGTAGAATGGATGGTTTGCTGCTGCCCCTTTTGTCCTATTTCCTCCCAACGACCAACGACCAACGACCAACATGCGAGAAAGCGGAATGGGCGAGTGCGGCTGCACGGATTCGCCTCTTCACGGATTCGCCCTCTTCCAGCAGGTTTTCCTGCCCCAAGGATAAAGAACAGATTTTTCGATGTCGGAATTTGCGACACGGCCCACCATTCCGCTCACGTATGCGTGCGTGTGTGCACATGTGTGTGCGTGTGTGTGCCAAAGTGTGCGTGGTGCCACCGCTGTGGCTGTGGGCATGCGTGCACGGCGCACCAGTAAACAAACACTTCCCCTTTCGGGGATGAAGAACAAGAACAAGGCCTTTTGGCTTAAATATGTCCACCCCCTCCCTAAAGTCCCCCTTTAGAGGCACAGCAACCTTTTTCATGCAAACCCTGCTCTTACCCCATCCCCGCTCCTCCCCCGGTCCCTGCAGGCGCTGCGGCGGCGGCAGTAGCAGCAATAGGAGCAGCCGTAGGGCCACCGGGACCGCCCACCGCCGCCGCTGTCGGGCCGCCAAGCCCTAAGGCAGCCACAGGCTGCTGACCCGTCGCCACTGAAGCCGCACCGCCACCCGGCCCTATTGACGATGGCGGCGGCGCCGCCGTGGCGGCTGGCTGTGGGGTTGGCCCGGGTTGTGGCTGCTGCAGACTTAGTTGCTGCTGCTGCTGCTGCAGAGGTAGCAGTTGCGGGGCTGGTTGCGGCGGCAGCTGAGCCTGTTGTGGCGGTGGTGGAGCCGCCACCGGCGCTGGCGGCGCCGTCACAGTCGCCCCCGCCGCCGCCGCCGGAGGGTCCGCGATGTAGTCTGCTGGGTTCATCCATTCGTTGTACAGCTCGCTGTCCTTAACCCAGCGCGGGTACACCTGCCCAAGCGCCGAGGGAGAATGGAGCGTTGGTGAAGAACAAGCCACAACAGCAGGGACGTGTGTATGTATGTATGTATGTATGTATGTATGTATGTATGTATGTATGTATGTATGTATGTATGTATGTATGACTTAGATTTCACTGTGGGCCGCGAGAGCCGGGGGCCGAAGCCGAAACACAGCGCAAGGGTCGGGAGCACACAGCACAAGCCGGTTAGTCTTGTGTGTTCCGGACCCCGACTAAGACTGCCAACACTCTACGCAGCCACTCCGCAGCACCTCCATCTGGGGATGGCGCTGTAGCGAATACACCACGAAGGGCTCTCAGGTCCCGCTAGAGCGACTCCACAAGTCTCAGCTAGGGCAAAGTATGTATGTATGTATGCATGCATGTGTGTACGTGTGTTGGTCTGGCACGGGGCCACATCCCCACGGGTCGTGTTAACGAGGAGCCCCCAAAGCACCCCAGACATGGCGCGACTCCTTTGCCAATCCAAGAGGGACGCATTGGGGCCTTAGGCAGGGCACCTACCTACGGGCTCTCACCGCACCGCACCGCACCATGGGCCGCTACCCGACCCTTGGGGCCATTGGGGCCGCATCTCCCTTCTCCCCAGTTCAGGAGACCTGAACCTTCTTCAGCCCGTGGAAACTAACCGGCCCGCCTCCCACTCTCTCTCTCTCTCTCACTCTCTCTCTCACACACACACACACACACAGATAGAGCAGCCCAAAGCCACGAGCCAAGCAGCCCTAACTGCCAGGTTATCACCCAACCACATTGCAGTGGGTCGACCAGACGGCTGGCACCTAAAATCCGTGCCGGCGAATCAATCACAACCGGCTGGGATAAAAAGGGCCTCACCCTAACAGCCCAATACCCAATCGCAAAGGGGAAACAAAGGGCCTCACCCTCACAGCCCAATACCCAGTCGCAAAGGGGAAACAAAGGGCCTCACCCTCACAGCCCAATACCCAGTCGCAAAGGGGAAACAAAGGGCCTCACCCTCACAGCCCAATACCCAATCGCAAAGGGGAAACAAAGGGCCTCACCCTCACAGCCCAATACCCAGTCGCAAAGGGGAAACAAAGGGCCTCACCCTCACAGCCCAATACCCAGTCGCAAAGGGGAAACCCTAGAAAAATCTCACGAAACGCAACCAAGCCACCTGCACACAAGACCGCCCGCACCATACCCACACCATACCCACACCCGCCCCCCCTTAAACTGGAGTGATCAACGAGTATGATGGCCTGCAGCCACACGACCGACGAACCCGGTCCAGGACACGTCATCCTCTCTCCGTACAACTCTCCTCCCAGGGAAATTGTGCTGGTTTGGCACCTCGGCCTTACCCACCCTCCACGCAGCGGACCGCTCCGAGGGAGGCAGGGGCCCGGCGGGTGGCGCGTGTCTCGCTAGCACCCACTCGTCGTAGCTGTCGGGGAGTTGAGTCCAGTGAACCAGCGCCATGTCGCCACTGCGGGTCCATGCGTATGTCTATGTAAGTACGTATGTTGTTTGTATGTAAGTACGTACGTACGTATCTCCTCTCTTGCCACGTGCCCTCCTAGCCCCTTCCCCTAACCCTACCGCGACTCGTCTTTCCCTCCCTCCGCGCATTCTCGCACCCAGGAGGCCGCCGGCTCACCGAACTTCCAGGGTCCGCATTTGCTGCGGCTTGCCGCGTCCCGCGTCACTGACTCCGGGCGGCGGCACACAGATGCGGTGGGTGACCCGTGGGTCATCTGCGGTGAGCAACAACGACAATTGGAAGCTGGGTCGTGATGGGGTACTCACAACTGTGGTTCTGGGGACACTGACCCTATCCTGGGGCAGCGATATGTCTGAAAGGGGGGGGCCACCGCGCGGGGCGGTGCAGTAGCCGACTGCACGTCCCCCCTCCTCCGCCCCACCGCGACTGGCCAGCTCCGTAGAATACAGACATACATACACACACAGACAGACATACAGACAGGCACTCCAACAATACGCATCTCTCGCATGTCAGAAGAAAACGACCACGCGAGATGCACTTCCATCTGCTCCTTTTCGTTTTGCGCTTCTCGGCCACAATGTGTGTAAAACCGTATGCTCACCAACACAAACACACACGCGCGCATCTGCTTAGCACTTCGAAATATGCGGCTCAGATATAAAAGCATACATCCATACACACTCACTCCGTTAAAACACTCACCGGGGTTGTCCACCACCGTGCCGCCCATCTTCCGTACCGCCTCCCCCAGCTTGCACACCAGATCCAGGCCCAGTCCCGGGTCCGCCCCCACCACCGGGTGCCGTAACAGCCCCTCCGACTCCAGCTCCTTCCTGATTCCAATCAGGATCTCCATGTTCTGATACGGTTTTGGTTTTAGGGTTTTAGGGTAGGGGGTGGAACGGCAAACAAGAGGAGCCTGAGTAGGAGAGGTGCAGCTAATAGTAAACGACTTCAACGAAACAAACAGCTCCCGAACCACACAAACGGTGAGCTGCTAACAGCAGCAGCAGCCGCGCCGAAAGTTAAAACGGCTGTGATGGCGGTGACACGTCGGTATGTCATCATGTCGGTTTTTTGTACTTCGAGGATTAGGGAAACAAGACCTGACGCTGAAACGGGGGCGAAAGACGGGGGAGGGGCATCATTTGGAGAACCCCGGATCGAGCCCCAGTCAGTACCACCCCTCAGTAGTGGCGCTTAGCCTCCCGGGCCCCCCGCGCCTCCCGCGCGTCTCTTCCCCCACCCGCTGAGTCCTCCTCCGTTTCCTCCTCGCAGTGGGCCGCGCGCCTTTTCCCTCCCCCTCTTGTCCACTCCATCCTTCCAGCTCTCCTGGAAGCTATTTTACCACCGAGCTGGAGCTGCCTCCGCCGCAAAACAACGGATGATGGTGTGCAGCCCTTCTCCCGCCTCCTCCCTCGTCAGTGCCAGGATGAGGGCACTTAACTCCCCCCCACCCCTCCAACGACTGCGTCGGCAGCACCAGCCCGCTGGCTCTGTATGGTTCGATTGGGGCCGTTCGCAACCTTTCTTGAGCCCGTTCGGGTCTTTGCCTTTACCATTACTTTTCCCCCGTGGCTCCCGTTCCCTCTGTGCAGGGCGACCCGTGTTTACCCCCCCCCACCTCCTTGCGCTTTGCCGGGTTGGTCCAATCGATGCGCTTCAGGTCCCGAGCTGCCATGATGTCGTCGCACTTGGCTGCGATGACGTACAGCGCGCCGCGAGGATTGAAATCCCGCAGCAAAGAGGCGGGAAGTTTTGGCTGGCGCTTGAAGTTTGACTGAGGATGGACAAGTTGGCGGCGGGAGAAGGGCGGGAGGAAGGGGGTTGCATGGATTACGTGCAAAAGTCAACGAGAAAATGCGACTGATGACGGGTGGTGAGAGTGGGTGGGAGAGACCGATTGTCCGTGGACCTGTACAAGACGGAGAAGTGGGCTGGCGGGCACGCGGTGACGGGGAATCAAGGTTGGGGTTAAGGTTGGAAGGGATGAAGCACCGTGTACGTGTACATGTGCACGTTAACGCTGGGAGGGGTGGGAACAGGGAAAGGCGAGCCGATGCCGCAGGTAGAAGAAAATAAGCGGGGGAGCGGGTTGTGGTCAGCATAAATGCGGCCGCAGCTGACCCATGGTTCCACGACATCCCCATTAACCGGATCCTCGTCTCAGCTACTGGGATGTAGCAAAATGCAATGGATTTGTACTGAGGCCAATAGCACGCAGGTGGGGGTTGCAGTCCTGATAGTTGGAAAGCCGGGTGTGGCTTACGAAATGCGCCCTCGGGCCCTAGGTCAAACAGAGGTTCCGGCTGTCGTCCCAGGTTAGTCCTCCTCACCTCCTTGCCCAGAGTGTCCTCTTGGAATTGCATGAGCTGACAGACCATCGTCGCAAGCTTCTTGGCATCGAAACCAGCCTACGCTCGAGTCGTGTCAAGTCTCCGATAGTCTCAAAACAAAGCATTTGTAACGGTGACAATCCAGAAAATGGAGGACAAGTACCCACGTCCGGTAAGTCCTCATCCAACTGGAGAACGACGGGCTCAAGTTTCCGCAAGTATTCCGCATCCTGCATTCCATATTGAAGCGATCAGCTTACAGAGAAGCAATAACTGAACCTATACTTTACTTACCTCGTAATCCTTTGGCAAGACCTTGCCACTCCTTTTACCGATTAGGCCTTCCATTTTCCAGTTTGTAGTTATCAATTACTGGCCTTCTAATCCTCAGAATTAGCAAAAGCTGTAACCTGAAGCATGGCGATGCCTTGGACAGGCAAGCTACCAGGCAGCAAACACTTATTGAACTCTTTTAATGTTGCGATGTACACTTCTGAACGTGGCGCCCAAGGGCGATAGGGCCAAAGTGGGTTTCGGAGCCCTGACTAATATCGTCGAGCACGCAATACCGCAATGCAGCTTTCTTACTACGTCATGCATGACAGGCACCCGGATCATACACCCGGCTCCCGTTCGTAACGTAGCATGTATTTTGGCCGTTAAAGACTCGAGAGAACGGCAGAGTACCCGTCAACCACGGTATCAACCGCTTAGCCTGAATTCGCGTCGTCAACCCCTCTCTATCCCGAGGTGTGGCCAATTCCATGAATCATGTAGCACCTCTCCATCAGCGCGGGGCTTGATCTTTCACATGTAACCCCAAAATGCAAGGTCGACTCGTGGGGACCCAATACAGAGTAAGAACGGCTCCTTCTTCGCAGCATTTCATACCACACAGCGGAGAGAAGCCAAGGCCTGCAACGCAAAACAAAGTCCAATGCACACAGCAGACACATCTGTGCATATAGATTTACTTTTAGCGCAATGTAGCACATCCTCGTCCGCGTTCCACGGCCTGCGAAAACTGGCTGCAAGATGGCATCGATGTTATTTTCACGCTGCGTCTGCTGGGAAGCCGCGCAGCGCGGTAAAGGAGGGCTGCGCCCCTGAAGCTGTCTCGTACTGCGTCTGACTGCGCCTCAACTTCTGTCTAAACCGAAATTAGCCCCAACGGTTAGCCCCACCGGTCGCTGCATGCAGCGCCAACTCGTCAGCACTCCGCCAGCCTAGCAGCAGCCTTCCAGGGCTGTTGTACCTTCTACGCGTGTGCACGATTCCGTGGATTATCGAATTAATGAGGATACGCATTCAGCTGCGGTTGCCAGTTAGCAGGAGGGATGAGTTCCCAGCTGCGAGGAAAACCACCTGGCTGAAGGGCTGAAGGATGCTGAAGGGGGCAATGGATACTCCGGGGAGGCGGATCACTTGATATCCCTCCTGAGCGCTTAACGTCCCCTGAATGGACCGTCAGTATTGGAAGGAACCCCAAGAAGGGCTCTGTTATTATCCTGATGTACCGTGATGTGCCCCTGCTGTCATCATCCTTTCACCAAGCCACTAAGCCCACTGAAGCCCACTGAGCTGGCTTGCTGAGATCCACATTGGGCTGGCAGTAATGGCTGCCGGCCAAGGTGGTGGCGGATTCAAGCAGCTTGGGGGCAGAATGACCAGGTCCATAGCAATATTTATTATGGATAGGCAGCGCAAAGCAGACAGCTCTACTCAACACGGTATTAAGTACCAAGGCGGTGATAGCTGGGTACTCGCCCAGACTCGCCTGTGTTTAACCCTACCGTCGCACACACAATGAGACGGTAGGACAGACGGACGCCACACACACACACAATGTGTGTGTGGCGGGGGAAATCGTCAAAGCCATATAACTTAACCCAAACGATGCTTGGTTTTGCTGTAAGGCCCCAAGCTTGCCCAGGACTGCGCGTCCTTCTCATGCGCGCTTTGGCTGGACAGGGCTGGATGCGCTGCAACAGTAGCTGTGACTTGTATGTAAGACTGCTGTAACTTGTACATATATAATATAATATAATATATAATACGACAAACAATATATAATATACTACAATCCAGCAGCGAACCTTTTTTATGAGCCAAAATAACGCAGTTCAAAGATTCGGACAAGCTGCATCACTTGCTTGACGACCTGCCTGTGTCTGTCAACTAAGCTAGGTGGGGTGGGTGGATTTGCAGCAAAAAAACCCTAGGGTTACACTGAGTTTTTCGGGGACGGGCTGACTGTGGAAGTGCGGACCAGAGGGCCTTCCCCAGGGTGATTGGATAACTAAAATTACACCGCGTAATTAAGATTGTCTATTGTAATTTTTCGTAGACTAAATGATGGATAGGTGAGGGCAGGAAGATAGTAATGGGCGGGTTCTTTTCGTCTTGATGCGCACCTGGCCTAGCTTGCAGTTGGGGTAGATAAAACGGGCAGTCCGGCAGGTACGGTACCGAAGTGCTGAGCGGACATGGCACCTGCCGAGTTGTAAGCTCGACAAAATGAGGGTGCTGTTTGGAATGAAACCCTTAGGATGAATGGCTTGTGTCGGCTGGAGGCTTCAGGTACCGTCCGCTGAGCACGACACAGCACGAAAGAGGGCGTACGGAACTGGCCTGGGGCTTTGGGCTACCTATTGCGCGATGGGTTATTATCGGAAGGAAGGTTGATAATGGCTTAGATCGCACTGTCTGCAGCTTCAGGACTTTCTGAAGAGCAATTGCAAGGATTCGCGCCTTGCGCGAAAGGCTTGCACCGTTCGACATCCAGGGGTGAGAGTGTCGCATATCATGTTATTACATCTTAGGAGGACATATGCGGCTTTTCTTTACGCTAATATCATACCGGAAAGCTACTCGGGGTCCTTCTCCCTTAGCTCTGTAGCTTAGGTCCATCCGCCAAGCGTTTACCTGATCTTAGCTTTTTTCATTAATATCAGAAACGTCTGAGCCTAACGTCTACGTCTCAGCACAGCAAGTTGACTTTGACTCGATGTGCATAGTGCACGCCAGTGGAAAAGACTTAATACTTAAGGGGTGTAAATATTAAGCATTATGGGAACTGTCTCGAAGTAAGACACGGGCGAGGAGCTGCTGGCTTGTGGACATGGGCGAAAGGCTAGAGTGACCAAGGAGCCGGAAGACTTTGCGTGCCCACAAAATGGAGTCAGGCAGCGAGCTGGCGGGCGTGGAGGCGCTCGCGACGCGTGTTAAGCAGCTTCTGTGGGTTGTTCTCGACTCGGTGCCTGCGGAGCTTGTTCCATGGTCACTCGCGCTTGTCCGGCTCTTGCATGCTGTCGACACGTTCCCACGCGGTAAGTCCTTTCTAAGGCACCTGTTCACGTAATGAACATGCGCTCACTAGCTCAGGCTCACAGCAGTGTCCTTGGGAAGCCATGTCGGCACTTCAGCAACAGTGCCTGCCTGACCTACAACTCCTCTTTACTCATTATCCCCGTTACCCTCCGGGCTGAATAAACGTTTTGCAAGCACATTGTCTTGGGTACTGGCGATGTCCTTCCTGACAGGTGGCCTATACGACGGTCACTACGCAATACAAGCCGCTCTGCGGTACGAATTCCTTTGGCTGCCTCTAGCGGCACGTGTTCAGCACCGCACTCGCGGCGGCGGCAGCGGCCGCAGTGGCAGCATCGATGAACATGTGCTCGTTCCCCCACTCGATGTGGCGATGGCCTGGCTGCTGCACCGCTGTACCGCACCTGGATCATACCCATCTGACTGCGAGGCGCTTGTTGGCAAGGTGGGTGTTGGTTGAAGTGTTGCCAAGTATCGAATACAGCTCCCGCTCCCGCTGCTGCTGCTGCTGCTGCTGCCGCCAGCTCTGTGTGAAGCAGCTCGCGTGGCAAAAAATATACCTCCCTCCGGGGGCCCATTCCCTCTATCTCCTTCAATCGTCAGCGGTTCGTCTTACCTACTTCCCCCACCCACTCCCAGTTCCCAGTGTTTCCTCTTCCCCCCCCTTCTTCAGCCCATTCCCTGGCAGCAGCTTCACTCGTTCACGTGGTTCGTCTTCCCCCTCCCCCCTTTCCCTCCTCAGGTGCTGGACCCAGGCCCCAACCAGGCCTTCCGTTTCGCGGGATCGCACGCCTACAGCCAGTGCGACTTGCCCGAGGAACGCCAGGCCTGGGCCAGCAGGCAGTTGTGGGACGCGACCTACACGACACGAGGCGGAGGCCGGGTGGGCGCGGCGGCGGCTGGGGGGTCTGGGGGGTCAGACGTGGGCGGCCCGGCGGGCGCTCGCTCCCTCACCTCCGTCTCCCTGCTTAGCTCGCCGCCGGGCAGTGAGGCGCCGTCGCCGCGGCCGGAGCTGGGGCCCCCGCTGAGGCCCCGTGGTGGCGGTGGTGGCGCTCGGCGGGCCATGCGTAGCGGCGGGGGAAGCGGCAGTAGCAGCAGTAATATCGGAAGTGAAGCGGGATCGCCGGGCGGCAAGTTGGCTGCGCCAGCGGCAACGGCAGCGGCGGCGGGCGGGGTGGGCGCCACGGTCGCGTACAGCGTTGTCGAGAGCAGTCGCGACGGCAGTAGCAGCAACATCCTCGGCGGTGGCGGCGGCGGGGGAAATTGTCTGCAGGTGCAGTTTTGGCCGCCGGCTGCCCGCGGCTCCCGCGGGGACCTCACTGGGTTGTTTCCGTTAGCGGTTGCATCCGGCGGTTATAAGGACGTCGCCAGCAGCAGTGGCGGCGGTGGTGGTGGCGGAGGGAGAGGTCAGGTCGCGGGTGTGTTGTCGGGTCGCATGGGGGAGCTGCGGCCGCTGCTGCACTCGCTATTGCGACCCGCCTATCTCGACCCCGATGTCCTGGCACAGGCGGTGCAGAGGTGAGTCCCGAGGCTGTGGGCGTGTGCGTGTGTGTGCGTGTGTATGTGCGTGTATGTATTTGTGTATGCATGTATGTATTTGTGTGTAAGACTGGGGTTTGGAGGTCATTGGGAGGTCTGTGTGGGTGGGTGTGGACGTCTGGGTACACACACATGTACACAGAAATACATACATACGTACACACGTAGCTCCTAAAGCTCGGGCTGCGTTGCATCGCGATTATGATGAACTTCGGATCCATTGCGATATGATGATATTCCTTCTCCCGTATGTAAAACACACACCCTAAAACACACACATATATACACACGCACACACACGCGCGTGCAAACCCCCCTCCCACCACCACAATTACTTCACCCTCACTCTGTCATGTAGGTACTGTCGCTTCCTGATGCTCCAGGGGATGCACCCCTCCGTGCCCATGATACCCACAACGGTATGTCGTACTGGGGACCCCGGTGTAAGTGAGATCTCTGGCCTGGCCGCGGGCAGTGACCTCAACCTTAGCGGTGGAGTCCGACAGCAGTCGGTCGGCAGTTTGTTCCTTTGGCTTTTGCATCATTATCATCATCATCATCATCATCATCACCACCATCACCACCATCACCACCATCACCACCATCACCACCATCATTATCACCATCACCACCATCACCACCATCATTATCACCATCGCCATCTAATTTCCCTCCCCCCTGCCTCCCCTCCCCCCTCCCTCCTCCCTCCCCCCCCTCCCTCCCTGCCATCCCTTCAGGACATAGCCCTGATATGGGTGGCCCACATGGCCGTACCCGCCGCCTACCGGCGCACCTGCCACCGGCTGCTGGGCCGCCTGGTGCTGCCCGCACCTGGGGCGCTGAAACTGGACGACAGCGGACCTGAATTCGCGGAGACACGCCGCCTGTACGAACATCATTTTGGTGAGAATGTGTGTGTGTATGAGTGAGAGAGGGGGAGAGAGAGGGGGAAAGAGGGGAGAGAGAGGGAAAGAGGGGAGAGAGGGGAGAGAGAGGGAAAGAGGGGAGAGAGGGAAGAGAGAGGGAAAGATGGGAGAGAGAGGGAGCTGTGTGTGCATGGTAAGACTTATCACTTTGGGGGATGGGAAGTCTTGTTGGTCCTGGGGGGGCTCCGGGGAGCCCGGGGTCTGTTGAGGCGGCACATACACACGGTGGGTTGGGATGGGTGGAGGGGGGAGGAGGGAGGAGGGAGGAGGGGGGCTCTCCATCTTTCCCTTATGTCGTACAGCTTTGGCCTTGCGCTCCCCGCCCATTTCCAGTCTTGCTTTGGACGTCCGTCGCCTGTTGTTGTTTTTCCCTTGTTGAATTTTGCAACGTCATCGCCTTCATCATCAGCACCTAGCTACGCTCCCATGCCCACAGGCGAAGTGTACGACCCGCCGCTCACTCGTGCCGTACCGCTCTCCACACCGCACCCGCTTCTTTCCACCCCGCTGGCGCCCTTCCTACCCGCGTTCGAGCTCGTCCCAACCGGTACGACGCCATCATCCGATCTCGTCCTCGCCGCCACCTACTTCGACGCCGACGCCGCACTGCCCTCCCCCACTGTCCAACAGCTTCAGCAGCACCAGCAGAAGCTAGGTAACGGCAGCGTCGAGTACGGCAATGGCGGTGACGACGTCGGCGGGCTGCACCGCTGCGGTGCACATGCGCTGTACCTGCTGTACTTGCTCCGCCGCGGCGGCAACCGCAGCACGAGAAGCTTGGTCGGGCTGGTCTTGGGCCAGGCACACAGGCGCCGAGCGGCCGTCAAGTGAGCGAGCGTTTCCTTTTGTTTTTGCGCGGGGCGGAGGGTCCTTAGGTGATTTAGGGGGGGGCGGAGGGTCCTTAGGTGCTTTAGGCCGGAGGGTGTCGGGCGCAAGACCGCGGCCCCACCTCAACCGGCCTTCGACCCATCCCATCCCGCAGAACTGCAAGGCCTTCTCCGCCTCCTCACCTTGCATAGCCGCCACCCGCCTCCCTCCCTACCTATCGACCTACCTGCCTACCTACCTACCTCCCTCCCTCCCTCCCTCCCTAGCTACCTACCCGGTCTCCACCTCTACCTGTCACCTGATACCGCCCTGGGAAACGGCTTGCTCCCTGACGGGGCCCGGACTGATGTGCGTATGTATGTATGTAGGTACGTGGCCAACAAGGCCGCCGGGTTCCGTAACTTCCTGCACCTGCCGCACTCCGACTGCCACGTGTATTGGAGGAAGCTCAGACTGCGCAGCGTGGATCCGGAGTCTGTGGAGCCATCCGGCGCCTCCGCCACGGCCCTCAACGCCGTCGATGGCGGCGGCGGCGGCCAGCCCGATGCAGCCGTAGATCCGATGGTCATGGCGGCGGAGCTGTACGGCGACGCCGACAGCGACGCCGAGGCCGAGGGGGGCCCCGGAAGGGACGGCCACCGTCGCCGCCGTGGAGGTTCGGGAGGGGGGGATCAGGAGCGGCAGCACGAGGTGGTACGGCAGGCGCTGGCGGAGGCGGCGGCTGCCGCCGCCGCCGCCGCCGCGGCAGAGGCGGGGCTGCCGCCGCCAGCTGCTGCGTCTGCAAACGACGGCAGGGCCGGCAGCCGTGGCAGCCGTCGTAGCGATGACAGCAGCGGCGGCACTGGCGGCGGCTTCCTCACCCCGCTAAGCTCTAGCAGGAGAGGCTCTTGGATGGACGCTTCCAGTGGTTCGGCACCCGCGCAAAGGTCTGTGGGATCGTCAGGGGGCAGCTTCGGGGGCGGCGTTGACGCGGACCCGCCGCCGGCTCCGCCGTCTCGGCTGCCGCCACCGCCGCCGCCGCGGCTGCGGAATAACTTTGATGATGGTGCCGACGGCAGCGGCGCGCTGCAGCAGCGACCCAGGCGCATCGCCCTGATCGTGCCGCTTGTGCCGCCACCGCCACCGCCACCGCTCTCCTCGTCGACGCACTCGACGTTGACCTTCGCAGCAGGAAGCAGCGGCGCGAGCCGTCGGTCCTCGGATCACGACGGGGCCGCCGCCGCCGCCGCCGCCGGGCCCAGTAGCGACCACCTCATCTCTTACAGGCAACCGCGGCTGCCGTACGGCTCCGCCAGAGCCTCCGCTGGACAAGGCGTAGCACAGGGCGCTGGCGGAGCCGCCCCGGCGGCAGCGCAGCTACTGCCGCCGCAGGAGGAGGCGGTGGCTGCGGCTGCCGCCGCCGCCGCCCCCGTCGCGGCTGGCACAGTGGACCTCGCAGCGGGCCTGAAGGCCGCCGCGGTGACGGCCAATGAGCCGTTCCAAGCATGGGCGACTCCACGCCAACCGCCACCTCCACCTCCGCCTGACCTGCATCAGACACTGCAGTCATCACCATCAGCACCGTCGCCAAATCCGCCACTGCAGCAGCACGAGCAGGAGCAGGGGCAGCAGCAACCCCCTTCATGGCAAACCCAGCACGGGACAGAGCCAACAACCCCTAGATCGGACGGCACTGCCGCCGCTTCCGGTGACAGCGCAATGCCCTCGCCTGCGCGGCGGCCGTCCATTGAGCGCCGCAAGTACGAGGACGGTACGGACGGGTGGGCGTACAATAATCCGTACTACATCGACCGCCTGTTAGAGCTGGGTCCACTGTCGCCGCTGTCGCCGCTCGGGCAAGCACCGCCGCCGGCGTCTGCGGCGTTCCTTGTGGCGAAGGCGGCGGCGGCAACGGCAGGGGCGGCGGCAGGACACGCTACAAGTACGACAGAAGTGCCGGGCGCAAACGGCGGCGAGGAGGGGGCTCCTGGTCCCGCCTTAGTGGCGGATGAAGCTGCTGGCGGCGTCAGTCGCACCCCTCCGGGTCGCGGTTTCGGAGGCGAGGTCTGGGCTCTACGAGTTGCACGACAGGACCAGCAGAACGCTGCCGGCGCCGAAACCAATACTGCCGAGACCGTCGCCGCAGCGTATTCTTCCCCCAGCGGCGGAGGCGCCGTTGGAGAGGGTGACGGCCTCCGCGACATTCACGTCCTCGAGGATAACGCTGGTGGCGGCGGCGGCGGCGACGTACTTCAGAATGACGGCGGCGGCGGCGCCACCGGCGGGGTTTGGGCCATCCACGTTACTCGTTGCGTTCACGGCGGTAGCGGTGATGCCGACGGCAGCGGCGGCGGGAATGAGGCCCGCGGCAGTGGTGGTGGCGGCGGCAGTGGCAACAGCTCCGGGCTGCAGCAGCTGCGCAGCGGCAGCCTGGCGGGTGACGGCGGTGGCGGCGGCGGCGGCGGCGGCTTACCCCCCGCTCCGGGGAGCATTTACATGTCATGCGCGACCAGTCGTACAAGCTTGGACGGTGTCCACGGCGACGAGGAAGCAGCTGCTGCCAATGCTGGTACGGCAGAAGTAGGCACCGGGCGACGGATCGGAAGTCGCGACAGCGGCGATAGCGGCGACGACTTGTACTGCAGCCCGAGTGCCGCTTTCGCCGCTTCGATTGCGACTCCCTTCGCAAGCGCGCGGCCTGTTACGGATGATGGCGGCGCCGGAGGTGGCGATGGTCGTGGTGGCGGCGAGGCCGTCAGCAGAGACGCCGCTGCCGCTCCCATGGTTGATCCCACCACCAAGGCTCCGGCTGCTTCCGCTGCCATCGCGGTCGCCGCCGCCACATTAGTTGGCGCCGGCGGCAACGGGATGAGCAGCGCCGGGGCTGGCGGCTCCGCAAGCACCGGCGGCATCGGTAACAGCGCTGCGGGCAAGGGCATGGGTACGAGTAGAACTGGTGTCGGCGCCGTCGGCGCCGCCGTCACACGCTTATTTGGGCAAGCACCCTCCAGGCTCGCCAGGGTCACGACTGCAAGCCCGACGGCAGCCTCCGCCGTTACCCCCGCTGGCGGCAGCACGCCCCGCGGCGGCAGTACGACAACAACGGCAAACAACACTCCACGACCGTACGGCCTCCCACCGCGCCCCGCGCCGTTCGCATCATTCTCCTCAGCGGGGCCCGGCACACCAACGCCTCGCAGCGGCAGCGCCGGCAGCGGCGGCGGCGCAGCCGTCACGCCCAAACGCGCCAGCGGTGCCTACAGTCCCGGAGACGTGTCGTACATGCCGGGGCTGGGGGGAGTTGCGAGCCTGGTGACGCGCGGGGAGGAGTCGCCCGTGTTTTCCAAAAGCTTACGTGAACGATACGCTGGTGGCGGCGCCGCTGGGGGCCACGCTGGCGCCGCCGTTGCTGGTAGTTACAGCAGCGGCGGCGGCGTGAGCGCAGCTGCGGCGGGTCTTGCAGGTGACGGGGGCTCCTCTGCGGGCTTCTCCAGCCCTTTAGTGAGCAGCAGTGGCGCATCGTATTGCTCTGCAGTGTCGGGCAGATCGTCGGGCGGCCGCGGGCCGGGGGGGTTCCCCGTGGGCGGGGCCGGAGGCAGCGGCGGCGGGGGGCCCAGCAAGGGCGGCGGCGGGGGGGTTTGATGCGGGCTTTTCCGTGATGACGGAACGTAGTGATGAAGCGGTAGTGATGATGGTGGTTTCGCTGATTGCTGAATGTGAGGAGGTGCGGTGAGTGAGGGGGGAAAAAGGGGGAGACGTGGCAGGCGGTAGCCACCGAAACCCGCACGATCACCGAACTCCGTCACGTGCGCGATGATGGCGGACTGGAGCGCGAGTTTGAAATTTCAATGCGTGATTTGTACAGTGTTGTGTGGGGCTCCTCTTGGACAGGTCAGACTTGTTCTGTTATATGACGTTGCGGCCTCTGCGCTCACGTTGGCTGACATACTGAAAGAAATCTGGGGGTTACCTGCGGGTGGTATCTACGTAGGTGTGCATGAAGACGTCTGAAGAAGTGGGACCCGGGTGCTACTGGAAGGTATTGTAGCGGAGATGGCTTTTGAAGCTTGCAGGGGTGCGTACTGGGTGGCGATTGCCTGATTCCGGTGCTGTGATGTACTACAATTGACGACACCCGCGGCTCAGGTGAGATGGAATGAGGTATGATGTGCACACGTAAAGCACCGTTACGTGCGCGGTTGTTCCGTTATTATAATAATAATTATTATTATCGGGTAAGCATGCAGGCAAACCTTCAGCGGTCTCTGCCCGCATCGGCTATGCTCTCAGCATTGCTACCAGGGCTTTTCGTTGGCCAAACACGGACAAAGGTTTTCACATCAAATGTAATGGATGAGACACGATCGACACGGATCCGCGATCACTTCAGATACATGAACGACCGGGTGAGGTACCGGAAGCAACTCTTCAGGCTCCTCCAATCTTGGCGGATCGAGATTAAAACAAAGCAGCTCAAGGAGGCAGCGACCGAGAGGCAGCGTAAGGCGCAGGAATTGCATGATGAGGCTGCGCAGATTCAGGAGCGGCTTAAAGAGCGGCAAATACAACAGCTGAGGGAAGAGGTTCGTAGGGCAGAGCTCGAACATAAAAGGGTAAGGAAAGCAAAGACTTTTTCCTTTGCCAGGGTTTCTCCCAGTGCCAACGTAATCGTTGCGTCTTCCTGGCACGCACAAACGCGCAGGCCCAAATACAACTCCAGCGAGCGCAACGGCGGCAAGCGGAGCTCCAACGACGTGAGGATGAGCGGGCGGAACGGTGCGTCTGCACTTTGTCGAGCCAGAAGGGACAGACTGGAAAGCACGGTCGAAGGGTTGCAGAGCGGTCAGGCTGCAGCGAAGGGTCGGGAGCAGGCTACGGATGGGAAAGAGTAGGATAGAAATGTTGGACCCCCAGGAAAAGGATGGCAAGGGCCCAGGATGGCGGCATATTTGGAAGGGTCCATCCCAAGATGGCGGAAAGGGGGGGGAATGCAGTCTCCTGGTGGAGGGGGGATGTTGGGGTCGAGGGGGTTGTAGGATGTATCCAACCCACAGGGTGCGTGTCCGACACACACACCCCAGAATGCGAGGATGGGCTACCGCTCTGCACCCCTCCTGCACGTTCACGGTAATCCCGCCCATAGCTCACCCACGCACCCGACACCTGTAGCATCGCCAGCAGGCGCCTTTCCGTTGTTTCGCGGGTTCCTAGTCGCGGCCGAGCCGCAGTTACTTCACGACCTCACAAGGCTATGGGTATGTGACAAGGCCGTTTTGGGCTTGATGGTGACGTTCACGTGGCCCTAGCGCTGGCGACCATCTTCCCCTCCCCTGGTGTGGCAACGTCAAGCCTGTACGGAAGGAGGAGGCCGGGCCGACGCACCCCTGGAGCCCCATCAGCGGCTCTACAAATATACAGCCAGTCTGCCAGTCAAGGCAAATCCTTGCTGTGTCCAGCCACCGCCAGCCAAGCACGCGTCAGAGCACCGCAACGAGTGCAACGGATGTATCCTGCATTAGGGAAGGCTTCTAACCAACTAAAGGCTTCTAACCAACTAAAGACTTCTTCGTGGCGTTGGAAAGGCACATGCACGCGCTTGTACTTTAGGAGGCGGCATGCACTTGTACGCGCATGCATCTTTGCTCCCTCTCTTTCGCCACCTGCATTGCCGTAGGGACGAAGTTTCTTTCTATCCCCACGGCTTTTGGCTTCTGCAACTCGTGTGCTGTCGGGTCTGCGGTGCTTGTGAACATGTTGGCATAGTGGTCTTACCCTGCACCCCTACACCACTGGCAACTGCGTCCTCCTTGCTTTGGAACTCCAAAAAGACGGCAGTTGGCGCTTAGGAAGTGTTTGTAGCAGTCGGTTCTTTCCTTCTTGCATCATGATCACCATGATCCTGCGTTGCTGTACTCCTGCTCCCTCATGTACCCTCCTTCCCGTCGCAGCTACCAGCGGCTTCTTGACGCCAGCCGCAATTGGATTCGGCAGGAGGACCTTGAGGCGGCCATCCATCGGGCGCTGGACAATCCGCAGCCCTTCGGCTTCATCACCAACCTGCCCGTCAGCAAGGGCTTCTGAGCACGCTGAGACGGGAGATGCGGAGGCTGGCTGGCCATCATGAAGAGATACTGGACAGCGACAAGTGCCAGTGGCAGCGATGAGAAGCGGACGTCGACATCCCGTTGCGTCACAGAACAACTTCAACATCATGAGCGCCGTCGTATGCCTACCCAGGAGTCCTGGATTCGTAAATTGTATTTGAAGACGTGATGGATTTTCGCGGCGGTGCCTCGCCGTCCTCCAGGTTCCGGGTCCAGGTCTGAACCCACCCTGCCCCTCCCCCTCTTTTTCCCTCCTCTCCTCCTCATCTTCCTCTCGCTCAGCGGAGGAACAGAACACGGTCGTTTGTTGTCTTGCGCTCCCTGGTCGTGCAGTGCCTTACCTGGGGTGTATGCTTGGCGTGTCGTGATATGATGTCTGGGCAGGTGTGCTGCTGTGTGTTGTGGTGTGTTGTGATGAGGTGAGGTAAGTTGTGCAAACCTAGGCTGCTGGAATGTAGGCTGCTATTTCTGGATTGCCGCTGGTTGGTTTATACGCTTCCATGATAGAGGACGGAAAGAGCAGGTGTGGTTCCGGCAGACGGTTGGTTGGTTGGCCGGTGTACAAAACTGATTCTCAACGATGAGTGTGATGTTGGGGGTCGCGGACTGGTTGGGTGGGGAAATGCTGAATGATGGAGTTACAGGATATCAATGCTTACACTTTACACTTCACAATGTTGCGGGTTGGTGCCAACAGGGGCCAACAGAGTGTACACAGCACATGACTGCCGCCACGGTCATATTTGTTTCCTACTACTATTTCTCCACCCTGGCCCAATGGGTCGGCGGTTGGTGGTCACAGGGGCCTCCTGGTTTTCCTTCCGTCTTCTTCCGTCCCGCCCGGCAGGCGGTTAGCTTGGCTACAGGCCATCCCGGCGGTCCGCCAGCACCCGGGTGACTTAGCGGGCGGGGGCGAGCAAGGAGGCGGTGGTAGTGTTGGGCAAAGGGCCTATGGACCCAGGCAGCCGAGACAAACAAGCAACCCGTCATGAACGCTCAAATAGGCCCCTAGTCAGACACGCAGGACAAGTACAGGCGTGGGGTCAGACGAAGGCGTCACATCGTCGAGGTCACCACATTTTGGTCTTAGATCTTCAGATTTGGTTCAGAACGGGTCTTAGGTCAGATCGGGTCGGGACTGCATTAGCGAGCCAGTAGTGGTGTGGTGGTGGTGGTAGTGCTGGTGGAGGTCGCTGAGCTCCCCGGGTTGGGTGTTGTCGCGGCTGGCAGAGGGGAGTCACTGGCGCAGGGAAGCGTACATGGACTCCAACATGTCGACAGCCTTGGGTAGAGCTGCGATGACCTTGTATGCGCCCACCAGCCGCTGCTCGATCTGTAAGTCGGGGGAGAGTGGGGGGAAAGAGGGAAGGAGTACGTCGGGAAGAGCAGGGGGATGGGGGTGAGGTTTGCGTTTGAGGGTTGGAGGAGGGTCTTAGCGCTGCACCCTCGGGGAGAGCATTTGGTGGCACGACATGAGGCTAGCAGGGTGGGATGTATGCATGTAACTCGGATACAAAAACCGATATCCCACCGGGGTGGTGGTTCTGAGTGACGCATGCCTTCTTGGGCGCGCCGGGTGGCTATGCAACCAGCATTGAGAGAGGGGCTGTATGATTTTGAAGAGTTATCACTTTTTTTACCACAACCACGAATGTTCCGACAGCTGGTCTACACCGGTGCACGGGACCGACCGGTTATCAGCCAGCAGGGCGACCACCGGCAGCAGGACAGCTTCCGCATGCATCCAATTTCCTAAAGCTGTGTAAAACGTACAGGCAGCGATCCCCTTCCAAAATCAAGTCAGAAGCCATATGCAGGCGGTGTTTTTAAGGCTAGGGCCTAGGTGACGATGAAGACGACTGGGACTCGGCCATATCCTGTGCTCCCAAACGAGGAGAGACAGGAGCCATATCCCCCCCATATGCCCCCCGAACTCACCTCCCCCACTACGTCCCACCTGGCCTGTTCTCACCACGACGAATGCGAATCCTTGCTACTACACCTCCATGCTGCACCGTTCCAGCAGGGGATAAAGAAAATTGACCTTTCCCACACCACACACACAACTCCCACGACTCCCGCTACACACACATATGTGCACAGCACACAATCTCCCCCACTTTACATGTTTCCGAAGCTGCCAAAGCTGCCAGCCCGACGCACCATGATGATACAATTCTCCCCCCCCCCTTTACCCACCTGCGCCAGCACGTCCCCCATGGTCTCTTCCTCCAGGGGCACCGCCGGCTGCCCCCCGGGTGGCAGCGGCAGGGGGCTCACCAGGGCCACCAGGTGCTCCAACCCGCTCCGTACATCTGCATGGCTTCGGAGCAGGCACTCCAGGGCCTCACCCGCGGCATCTGCTCGGGAAAGGGCGTCCTGAAGCTCCTCCTGCGATGTTGTTGTTGCGGTGGTGGTGGTGGTGGTGGTGGTGGTGGAGTTTGTGACAGTTGGGGGGAGGAGGTTAGGTTGGGAAGGTGAGGGTGGAAGGGTTTAACCGCTCCTCACGCATGTTTGCCGGCGCATGCAAACCTTACCGCGACACTGTTTCCCCGGGCCTTACTGTTTTACCCCGGGCCCGCGCCCGGGGCCTGGGAATGGGGTTCCTTTCGAAACGCACTTCCGCATCCGCATGTGCATTCTCGGCTTCATCATCCGCATGTGCATTCTCGGCTTCATGCAGCACTGTCACACCGCACATATGTTTTTAACGAGTCTGAACTCCTAACTCCACTAAAACTCGCTAAAAACCCGCGTTAATCCACAGTTCATCAGCCCAGCCGGCAGCTCAGACATCCAGCTGCTCCTAACACCCTCGGCCCCTGCCTCCAGCGACAGACACATACCCACAGACACACAAACTCCCCGCGCACACGAAAACAAGCTCACCTGAGCCGCATCCATCTGGTTCTGCGTAGTCATCCTGCCACTGCCCTGCAGATCGTCGCGGTGCTTGCGGAGTACCTGCGGACCGCAAAACATCATTTCACACATAATGTTCAGTGTACGGCAAAGCTATATTGCAGGCCTCAGAAGGCAGGCTCGATGCAGCACAAGAAAGCGCCCTCGTTTCGACGACCATCACCAAAACACCCCATCAGCAGCACCAGCACCACCCTTCCCAATGGACAGTAGCAACTTGTGTCGGTTTACATTCTCCGCCATTCTCCTCGGATAGAGGCGACGTTCCCCCCACCCCACACACCACAGGCCGCACTTTGACAATCATTACATTTTATGTATGTCAGGATGTGAATTCAAAGTGTAAAGTGAATGCATGCTCACAATATGATAATTGTATGGGTCACATCTGTACAGTGAGGTACGTGCCGTACGTACCTCAAGCTCCTGCACAAGTGCAAGGCGCTGCGCCGTCGCCTGCGAGCGCATCTCCACCAAGTTGGCGTACGACTCCTGCTGCGCCAGCAGCCGCGCAACCAGCTCCGAAACCCGCTTCGCACCCGCTGTACGACATAACCGTACGATGAGATCTCGTGCTGTGATGTCCTCCAGCTCCCCCCGGCTCGACTCCTTGGCAGCTGGAGTGGCCGACGGTGATGTTGGTGCTGCTGCTGCTGCTGCCGGCTGCTGCTGCTGTTCTCCAGCGGTAACACCATCACCGTTACCGCTGCCGCCGCCCGTTGGTGCTGTTGTTGCTGCTGCTCCCGCGGCTGGTGGCCTGCTGTTGCTGCTGGTGCCGCTGTCCTCTGGGGATGGCCCTATGAGGGGAACGAACTGCCGCTGCATGAGAGCCCGGTTGGTTTGCTGCAACGTAGCGGCCTGAGGGGCGGTTGGGGAGGAGGCGTGTGTGTGTATGTGGAGTGTGTGTATGTGGGGTGTGTGTGTGTGGTGCCAATTCTTTATTGCAAATAAAAGGACTCCCCGGACTCCCCGGACACACAAGGAGCCCGTGCTGGTCAGTTTAAAATCGCACAGCCTCCTGTCCTTTTGCTTTTTGTGCACAGACAGCCTCTAGGGTTTACTACTGCTGTATTGTCCGCGTGATTACGTCCTCTCACACCTCTCCCACCTTTTCCCGCATCTCCGCCAGTACTCTGGCTCTCCGGGCTCGGTTGGCGGTGACCTCCTCCTCCAGCGCTGTCAGTGTGGTCTTGGCCACCTCCTTGGCGGCCTGGACCTCCCGACTTGATAGGGTGGCGGTCTGCGGAGGGAGGGAGGGAGGGGTGGGCATACATACAGACATACATGCATAAATACCGCAATTCCCGGTACAAAAAGGGAGAGAGGGAGAGAGGGGGAGAGGGAGAGAGGGAGCGGGAGAGAGGGAGAGAGGGAGGGGGGTTCATTATTCACAGCAACACTCTCCGCAGTGCTCCCCCAAAGCACCACCACCTCCAGCCACCCCCCACCGCGCCAGGTACCTGCAGCGCGGCCACCTTGGTGGTTTTCTGTTCCTCCAGCGCCCGGATACGGGACTCCAGAAGGGGCTCCTCCTGACGCAGCTTCTCGATAACCTGCATGGTAGGTTTTGGGGGGGAGGGGGAGAGAAGGGGAGAGGGGAGGGGGAAGGGGGGGCGGAGAGGGGGAGGGGGGGGAGAGGGGGAAATACGGTAAGTACGGGACATCGGGAGCTGTCGATTGAAGGACACAAAGGTAACGAAGCACAATGCTGGGGCGCAAAGAATAGACAACAGTAGCCTGCGCAGCCGTTATCTGCCGTACAATACTTGTCGTCGTACCTGCTCGTACGTCTTCCGTATGCTAAACGCCTCATTGGCCTTCACGGTGGCCTTCTCCAACCGGTTCTGGAGCTGTCGGAGCTCCCGGCCAGCGGGGCTGTTGTACGGCAGTGACGCGGCGGCTGCAGCTGCCGTGATGGCCGAGACGCTGGGGGCGCTGCTAAGACTGGCGCTCAACGGCATGGAGGAGACGCTGGCGGCGGCGGCGGCAGCTCCCGGTACGGCAGCCGCCACTTTGGCCATATCCTTTTTGACGTTTACAGTTTTGTAACAGTTGGCGCGAGGAGGACAGAAACGGGGGGGGGGGCGGGGCGGGGCGGGGAGGGGAAAGGGGAGGAGGGAAATCTCACACCGGGATGATTTCACACTCTGCGCTATGTGGTGGTGGTGGTGGTGGTGGTGGTGGTGGTAACAACTGCGACAACTACGCTGGGCGACTTGACGACGGTAGACTCGCGCAGGTGACATCGACAGGTGGTAATGGCGCCGCGCTTTACTCGGTCTCGATTTATTCGGTCTCAGTCCTCGGAGCTTCCTAGGTTCTTCCGTTGGTTGGTGGAGAGCGCTGCGCTGCGCCGGTTGTGTTCCCCTTGTGGTGTGGCGGTGGGGGAGGCGGCGGCGGAGCAGTGTTGCGAGGTGGCCCCAACAGCCTCAGGGGGGGGGGATTTGAGGTGTGAACTTTGCGCACTGGGGGAGTTCCGGGGCACCGAAGGAAAGGGGCCACTTGCTTGCATCAGGGGTTGTGTGTATGTGTGTATGTATGTGTGTATGTATGTGTAAAATGTTGTGTGTGTGTATGTGAGACGTGCTTTGGGTCGGTGAATGTGTGCTCAGGAACTCGGGCGATTGCGAATTCCACACCTACACTCCGTACTACCGGCCTGGTAGTGCCGTACGCCGTACCTTGAGGCTGTCGTGCAGATTGTCGAGCTTCTGCAGCGCCGTCTTCTTGTCCTGTGGGGGCCGTGGATGTGAGGTTTGGGTACACGGAGTTGTTGGCGGGGCGGGGGTATACATTCTAGCATTACGGAGTGCATGTGTATCTTTGTATGTGCATGTGCATGTGCATGCGTGTGTATATGTGGAATGGGAGGGCATGTTAAAAAGAAGAAGCGGGAGAGAGGGAGAGAGGGGGAGATGGGGGGAGAGCAGGTTGTCGGGCGCCAAGAAGGCTCTGCAATACACGGAAGGGGGAAGGGGCGGGGGGTTATAGGCACATGAGCCGTACACGTAGGGCCCAGGGGCGATCTTGCGGACGGTAGGGAAGAGCACACCTCCCATCTAATTTCCGTACATGCTGCCGTACCTTGATGACTTTGTCGTACGCCCTTCTAAATTCGTGCACTTGTCGTTCCAACCGTTCCACCACTCGCTCTCCGTCTGTGGCGGTGCCTTGCTTGCCCTGGAGAGCGCGAGGAGGTGAGGAGGAGGAGGAGGAGGAGGAGGGTGAGGAGGAGGAGGAGGAGGTGAGGAGGAGGTGAGGAGGCAAGAAGGGTGGAGGGCGGGCTTGGTCGAAGATACGTAAGGGCAGAACACGACACACATACATACACACATACATACACACATATATACACATATATACACATATATACACATCCATACATACACATCCATCCATCCATCCATCCATCCATCCATACATACATACATAAGCTGCAAAGGACAGACGGAGCCTTAGTTACTGACGGCCACCCCCTCCCCCCCGGCCACCCCTACCTCCCCCCTTGCAACCTCCTCCCCAACTCCCCTCTTAACCCCGTATTACACCCTCTCCTCCCCTCCCCGCATCCCCCCCCGCCCCCCCCCACACATCCCCCCACATACCCACCTGCAGCTCGGTGCTACCCCCCCTTCGAGCCACTTCCTGTGACAAGTCCTTGTTCTCCTGAGCACCGTTTGGAAGGGCAGGGTAAGGGGGGTAAGGGGGGGGGGAGTAGTACGGATAGTACGGATCACTTCCAAGCGGGGGCTCGGGGTATATCCGTCGGCTGCGGCGGGAGGCTGTAACAGCGGCGGGAGACGTCCGCGGGGCGGGTGGGGGTGGGGGAGGCGCACGGTGGCGGCAACGGCTAACTCCAACACCCTAGTACTATAGGGAAAGGGGGGGGGAGTTCCCCACGAGCAGAGCGCCACCACCAGCGGCGGCGATCCAAAGAAGGAAATCATCATGCAGCAAGTGTGGAGCGTTTTTGCTGTAGAAAACATTTGTGTCGAAGAACTTCCTGCCAACGTTCGACGAGGCGGGGACCAGTCGGCGCCCGCCCCCCCCCCACACACACCCTCGGTGGGAGGGATGATTGGTGGGCGGGAGGGGGCGGGTGGGGGTGGTATTTGGGAGACACGCATTACGTCTACCAATAGCCCTCTGGCCTTCAGAATCCTGGAATCCAGGGGGGGATGATGTCTGGATGATCCGGGGCTCCGAAACCCTAAGTTTTGTAACCACCTCCCCAAAGTGCGCTCTTGCCGCCAGTCCCGACATAGCGGCTTTTGCTTGTCCGCAGCTCCCATTTGGACGACCACTTCTTGCTCTCTACACATCTCTCCCCCGCCCCGTCCCCGTCCCGTCCCCCTCCCCACCTGCTTCAGTGCCATCAGTGTGTTTTTATTTTGTTTGATCGTCCATTGTGTCGTATCCTGACTGGTCTTGAACTCGGACTCTGAACCAGAGGCACACATACATACACACATACATACATACGTACGCCACGGAAGATCCCGAGATTCCTCGGGGGAAGGGGTACCCGGGTAACATGGGATGAAGACAGCGGCGGCGGCGGCAGCGGCGGCGGCGGCGGGAGAGGGAGCGGGAGTTTGCCCTCCTCCGCTAGGGCAGGTGCAGAGTCGTACACAGCAAAGATTGTGGCTCTGCTACCGCCGCCGCCGCCGCCCTGTTCTTCTCCACCCCCCATGGGCCTTGAGCCTCGGCAGTCGATAACCCGCGGCACCCTCATTTTTAAAAATTCATATAGAAGAAATACTAGGACGAAACTTCCAATCAAATTTCGGATCCTGACCCGGGTAAGGGCCGCCATGCGGGGGAGAGGGGAGAGGGGGGAAGCATGTCGACGCGGTCGCGAGAGACCCGCAATACTTTGCCCATAGCATTTTTTTGCATGCGCGCCCTTTTCCGCAAGGTCTTAGAAATTCTGGAACCGAAGTTGGACTGGTGGCTTCCTTCCCCCCTGTGAGAACGCGGCCGCGTCGTCTGCTTACCAAGCTGCTGCAGCCGCTCCTGCAGCTGGGCGATCAGCTCCGGCCCTGCAGCAGCATCCGCGTCCATCGTTGCCGCGGCTGTGCGGGAGGAGCTGCTGGCGTGTGCGCTGGGTCGCCCCATGGCCAATCCGTTGTTGCTGGCGGATGGCGCGGCCCGGCCTGACTCCTTCGTCGGCGTTCCCAAAGCCTTTGAAGTGGATGGAGAGCGGGTGGGTGTTGAAGAGGCTGATGGGGCTGTCCGTGTGGAGCCTGCCGTTGGGGTCGCGCGTTGGCTGCTCATCGCGGCCACATGAGCCTACCCATGTACGTCCCAGCGCAGCCAAGTAAGGCGGTTCAACATTGCATACGAGTTAATATCCAAAACACGATTAGAACATGAGCATACGCTTTTTGGCTGGCTAAGCAACTTGGCAGTCCAAGAGCAGCTGAATACGGCCTATGTCTAAGCTACAGATTGAAATTGGAGTCATCAACTCGCCACTTCACAAGCGCAAATCTTATTTTTGTAGAGTCGTTTGTGTTGTTCAAAGACTGTACAGGAAACAAATGCTTTAATTATTTCTGCACAGCTTGACACCGTGTTACACCCATAGAAGCTTTCGTTGGGCCCATATCGAACATGATAAAAAGACGCAGCCTGTGCATGTGAAGTTCTGAGGACGTACGACGGCATTAGTTATGTTGATGCAGTCAAGAAATCATACTCCCACACATTGCAGAATTGTATTTGCAAAACAAGTACAGGTCTGGAACCTGTTGCACAGACAACTCGTTAGTGCCATGGGAGAGGGGACAAAGTATTGTGATCTCGCGAACTTAATCTCATCTGTATATGTAGCGGCGGACATTCCTAAGGACGCCCAGGCAATATGCGTGCCAAGCCACCTGCCGGTATAGGTACGCTGGCGCTAGTGTTGTTGCTGCTGGCTTCCTGTCTGAAAGCCGATGGGAAGCAGCTGCCGGTAATGACACTAGAAAACATTCCCTTCCTGGACAATATGAATAGCGAGGTAAGAATGGGTAAGTGGAGAGGATCTGCTACACCCCGTCCCATGGTTCCTAAGATAGCAGTTGATGTGCATTCTTCGCCCACAGAGCGTAATCACGCTCCGTAAGCGGCCGCCCGGCTACGAGCCCGCCACCACAGAAGTCGAATGGGAACCTATTTTTAGGTAAGTGCAAAATGTGCAATGCCTTTTAGTAACTTTTTTGCGTAAAAGCTCTTTGCATTTTTGAGTACTGTATCGACTTTTGAACATATTGTGTACCGCTGCGGCGCGGCGCTCGTCGGCACTTAATATTTTGGTAGTCCCCAGCGCTATTCACACTTGCGACTTCACACAAAAACACATATAACCTCCCTAACGCTCTGCCATTCTCTCAGTCGTACCCTCTTTACGTTCCGTCCTAATGGTGTTTCTCCGCCGTACGCTTCATGGGTCGTTCGTACGTGCCGTACGTGCACTTGACGGTCACATGCAGGTCTAACCTGTTCCGAGATCTGCGGCGTTATCAAAACAAGATATCCCAGGTGAGCCGCCCTCTCCACACCGCCGCGACACGCATCTCCCTTGTCACACACACAATACATATTACATGCTCCCGGCCGACCCGGGTTCAAATCCGCCTGCCGGCTCCTCGGGTGTTTGAGGAGTGATGAAATGGGAGGTGGCCCCCCATCATATGGACGATGTAGGACGTGATAAAATCAACTTGCGAGCTGACCAGGAACTAAGTTGATGTGCCGTTGATCCGCTAGATTTGGTTGGATGCTGGTGGTGAGTTGCCGAACCCAACGAATACATTCTGAAGTCGGATGGGGTGACGGATTAGGGTGCCCCTCTAGCAGGGGAGAGCAGGGACTGCCCGGGAAAGGGGCCGCTGGCGAAGTTAACCACCCTGTAACAACATACATATTACATGCTCACATATGTACACAAACATACATTCCTTGTCGTGAAAAGCGCTATCGCCTGGGTTGCCGCATGAAAGGCTGTCTGTCTACCTACCTATCTGTCTGTCTATCTATCTATCTGCCTGTCTGTCTATTTATCTGTCTGGATAGTCCAATGGCTAGATTCTTGTTTGTCTGTCTGTCTGTCTGCCTGGACTAGTACACGGATAGGCGGACGGATGGATGTACGGCGAGCAAGGGGGTGGACCCTTCCCCTCTCCCCTCTCCCCGCGAAGAGGTTCCTTTCCGCAGCACTAGCAACAACAGCACCGACGGCAGGGGGGCGACATCCCGTCCTAAACCCAACTGGGAGGACTTATCCGCGGCCGTATGTATGTACCCCTGCCGTGTCGTATCATCCACCCTCCTGCCACCACAGTGTTTTCCCCTCCCCTCTCCTGCCGTACCTCGGGAGGAGGGAAACTGTCCGGGCCCCATCACCCCCCAACCCCCAACCCCCCCCGGCCCCACATAACCCAACCCAGGGTCAGGCCCTCACCCTGACGGGCTTGGCCTACCAGCTGGAGCTGCTGAAGCAATCCAACCGCTGGCATCACGTAGTTGTCGTACTTGTACGGCATAACGTCATCTACGCCTACCTTGCTCCTACCTATTG